GTTTTTCTCCGGTACCGGGAACCGAACTCACGACCTTGCGCTTGCCAGGCAGGCGCTTTTTGCCGCTGAGCTAAATCCCCAGCCCCTGTGATGTATCTTTTACCATAATAATTTTTTTTTTTTTTGTGTGTGTGTGTGTTTTTTTTTTCTCCAGTGCCGGGAATTGAACTCATGACCTGGCGCTTGCCAGGCAGGCACTGTGCCGCTGAGCTAAATCCCCAGCCCCCATAATAAATTTTTAAATGTAGACTTTCACCAAATAGTTTAATCACACTTCATACACCCGTGCTTCAGTGACCTCTGATCCTCAACCCTCATGCCACTCCTTCTGCTGTGCATGTTTCTGTCTCACATGACAAGCGGTGAGACAGTGACCCTCCAAGGTAATGCAGCACAAAGAGCTCTCCCCAACTTGCACCTGCCTGGGAGCCTGGCACTTCCCCAGACGGGCTGCCACTTTATTGTAACAGAAGCTATCCTCTACTGCCCTGTTACAGCCTTCTTAGAGTTTGCCCTTTAGTTCCTAACATGAAAATACTTTCTTCCCACTCTGTAGGTCTTAACAATTGGCATGAGAAAGTAGAAAGTTCCCTATGCTGCCTTACCCCACTCAGAAGTCAACATAACTAATACATTTGTTAATCGGCTGAGCAACATGAGCAGGGGATTTCGGTAATTAGAGTTAAGAATTTAGTCCGTTCGTATTGAGTTCTGGAAGGTGTCATCCAGGAAACACAGATTGGGAGGTCTAAGCTGTCATGTCTGTAGCTCAGGACTTTAGATATTAGCTAAAAGGGACTTACTTTCTAAAGCAACTTCTGTCTGCTCTAGCAGGGCCCATCCTAAGTCAAAGACTGGGAAAGCCAAGTCCTGGCTGCAGAAGCCCCTGCAGACCACATGCTTCCCAGAAACCCTGGAGACAGCATTGTCCTGCTCCTTCCTACCTTTCCAGCCTCAGCTCTGCCAAAACTGACCAGCAGGGAGGCGCATCTGAGCTGGAGCCTGCCAAAGTGGAGCAAAGGGGTCTTGTGTCTCATTGTGCAACTGAAGACAGTGACCTGTGGATGAAAAACACACGGAGTCCGGTACATTTTCTCTCGCAATCTTTGTTATCGGGATGACCTGGGGGGACCTTCCCAGGCATCAAGCCTGGCTTCCTCTCTGCCTGTGACCCCAGTGGGGAAGGCTCAGGGTAAACACCAGCCTCTCCTCCTGGCAGCTAGGGACCAGCAGCTCTGCTCCACCAAACGTCAGGCAAACGATGAATCCAAGGAGAGATTTAAAAAATTCTTATTCTGTTTTCTCTTGCCCCATAAGATTGTGATGTCCTTCAAAAATAATTATCTTGTTTTGTGTTTATCCCATGTGAAGTATGTACTGGGCAGATAGAAAACGTGTGTGTGTGTGTGTGTGTGTGTGTGTGTGTGTGTGTGTGTAATATAGGCTCTTCTAGAAAGTGACAATCAAGTCTGAAGTCCCTGCTTCTCCATCAGTGTCATCTTCCTGTCCTCTGAGACCTGCTTGGTCTGATGGGATTCTAATGGGGTCAGAATTGAGGGCTTGTGGCTCCCAGCAAGGTCCTATTGCAAGGCTTCAGAAGGGAACCACTCATAGCTAAATCCAGGAAGCAGCCTGTATATCCATCAACACATGATTGGAGATATAGTATCTATATATGATGGAATACTACTTGGTGATAAAGAGCACAAATTTCAGACATTTGTAGGAAAATGGATGCTCATGGAAAATGTAATGTTGAGTGAAATAAATCAGGCACACAAGCTTAAATATCATGTAGGATCTTTTATCTGAGTAAGGCAAAGTACACATAAAGAGCACAGTAAAGAATGAATAGAAGGAGACCAGGGGATAGATCTCCTGCAAGTGGGAAGAGTCCAAGAGAATGCGGGTGAAAGGGGGAAGGGAGGGGAAATAAACAGAATAAAGATATGCATGTCTGGAACCTAAAAACCTTGATGCATGTAAGCATTTTATGTCATAAACATGACATAAGATGACTACTATCATTAAGAATGAAAATGGGGATAGGGAGGTGGGAGGGAAGAGGAGAGGGATTAGAAAAAGAATTGAGCTGTGTAATGTACATGTACCCATCCCCTGCCTATACTGCAAACATGTACTAATAAGAAAACATTTAAAAAACATTCTAATAGAAGTAGAGGAAATTAACAACCAGGCTCTTTAAATATAGTTGCTAAGCGGGGAGGTGGCCATTGTGTGTGTGTAATGTGTGGGTTCCTGACCTTTCCCTTCCTGTCAGCATGGTGAAGCAACTCAGTGCATACTTTCTGCCCCTTGATCCTGGCAGTCAGGAGCGCTGGTGATTCATTAGGTAAGGAACAAAGGGACAGCCTTCAGGGTTCGCTCTGGGTGCTGTGCTGGGTGGCAGCCAGTGTCCCGAGTTGTGCGGCCCTGTATGGCACAGTGCCCCAAGTGCTCATGGGAACATTTATTTACTCTTACTCAATAGAGTAGTTGGCAGTGCAGAGGCATAAACCCAGCTTTACGTAAGGCCAAATCTTGCCAAAGACTGTTATGCCCACGGGAAATGTAATGTTGTGTGAGATAAATCAGACACACAAGCTTAAGTATCATGTAGGATCTTTTTTGGTCCAGAACTGATGGGCTCAGAATTGAGGACTTGTGGCTCCCAGCGAGGTCCTATTGCAAGGCTTCAGAAGGGACCCACTAAGATTCTCATAGCTAAATCCAGGAAGCAGCCTGTATACCCACCAACAAATGACTGGAGATATGGCATCTCTATATGATGGAATACTACTTGGCGATACAGAGCACAAATTTCAGACACTGGTGCTTACCACTGTCTAAAGTTCAGTTGCTGACAATGTCCGGGACGGAAATCTCTCCGGAAATCACCTGGAGAGCTTTAAAAATGACAGACTCTTGGTCCCTTCTCCCTCCTTGTCCCAAAGCCCGAGGAACTGGCCTGAGGTGTGGCTTGGACATTGCAACTTTCAGCATCTCCACAGCGGCGCAGAATACCCAGGTATGGCTGAGAACCATTGCTCCAGGACATGCCCAAGCAATCACCAAGTCAGAAGGGTCTATTGAAGGGCCAGAGGCACTCAGGTCTCAGAGACATGTGCTCCCTTTGTAAGAGTCCCTGGGGTCAGGGGAGAAGAGCTCCCTGTCTGCTGCCTTGCTCTGACCCCGCCACCTCGCCCCTGGAAGGTCCTAAGGGTATGCAGCTCCATTCAAGAACCGTGCTTCGGGACCAGGGGCAGTGTGCTGGCCAGGGGACATTTGCAATGTCTGGAGATGTTTGGTTGTCCTACTGGAGGAACATGCTGCCGGCACCTAGTGACAGAGGCCAGGGTGCTGATTAACACCCTGCAGTACGCAGGACAGCCCTACAAACAAAGAAGCATCGGGCCAACACTTCAATGTGCCGAAGGAGAAATCATGTTCTGTAATGAGACCTCTCTTCTCTCCTTTAAACGTTTCACATCTAAGCAAGGTACAGCTCACAGCAGCACAGCGGGCACCCAAACACAGCGCAAGTGTGTCCTTATGGCCCTCATTAAACTTCCTTGGAGAACCTGACTAGGATTAGGGAATGTTCTTCAACCTGTGGTATCTCGGTTTGCTATAATCACAGGCTGAAATCTTGATGAGGTGGGCAACTTTGTTCCACCATTCGTTCTCTGCCCTGATGTTCGGCCTCCCCTCAGGCTCACAGCAGTGGGACAAAGCAACTATGGAACAAATTCTCTGAAACTGCGAGCCAAAATAAATCCTCTCTTCTCTTGTTTATCTAAGATATTTTTGACTGTGACAGAAAACTTACTCATATAACTAGTAATAAGGTGTACTACTAAGGTTAGTAAACAGAGGAGTAAACTTAAGAAAGGTCCCCCTAGAGGTTGACCTGTGGGTCTTGTTGGAAATTCTGTGGCTCATTGGGTGGCAGAGAAAGTTTGTAGGGTGCCACAGCTGAAGCAGATGAACTCTATAAACAGGCATGGGGATGCATGCTTATAATTCCAGCACTCTGGAGGGCTGAGGTAGGAGGATCCCAAATTCAAACCCAGCTTGGGCATCTAAGCAAGACCCTTTCTCAAAATAAAATTAAAAAAAAATAGAAAAAGGTTGGAAATGTAGCTTAGTGGAAAGGCTCTGACTTTAACCCCCTGTACCAAAAACCAAACAATATGGACTCCATGCAGGTGGCAGTGGGACTTGACAGGAAGCTGTCCAGGAGTGCAGAGGGATTTCCTGGGAACGGAGCCAGGGCCCCTGCAAACCTACTTGGAAGACGCCCATGTGGGAATGGCAAGTAACATGCCGCTGAACTCCCCGAGAAGACAGCTGTGGAAGGCATGGCTTTCTAGAGTGAGCTGTATGCCCCCTAAATTTATGCGTTGAAGCTCTGTTCCCCAGCGTAGCTGTATTTGGAGGAAAGATGGAATTACAACTAAATGGGGTCAGAAGGGCTGAGCCCTGAATTGGTAGCACTTATCAATGGCGACACTATTCTAGAGGCCTCCTCTGACAAAGATGAGCACCACGCACAGTCAGCAAAGGAGAACTGCTGAGAAGGCCAGCTCCAGTGCCACAAACAGGATGCAGAAAGGGGCACGTGTGGGTTCAAGTCAATAAATTGATGACTGACATATATTTCTACTTTGTGAAGAGGATTCTTAAGGAGAGAAGGTTAATAAAACTACATTTGCAGATGAAGGACCAATGGGTTGTGAAGTAGGAGAGAAAATTGTTGATATAAAGTTCCCATCAGAAGGAAAAGGAAGTTTGGAAAGTTGGAAGCTGAGTGTATTCCAAAATAAGACATAGGCAAAATGCATATACCGACAGGGACTAGGGCATCAGATGGGCGTGGGAGAGAAAGCTCAAGGTACTGCTGAATTTAAGTTTCAGTGTAGTAAAATCTGATGATGCAAAAAGTGTCTAAATAGTGTAATGATGATATTTGTTTTTTCTTTTTTTTTTTTTGTCTTTTTGAGGCAGGGTCTCGCTATGCACTTCAGGCTGGCCTTGAGCTTACTTTGTAGCTCAGGCTACAAAGGCTCAAACTCTCAACGATCCTCCTGCCTCAGCCTCCTGAGTGCTGGGATTGCAGGTGTGCACCAGTACATCCCCTGTTCTTGCCACTTTCTGAAGCAGTTCTGGAAGTTCTCCTTCATGAGTGTCTTTACAGGGTGTGATAAAAGGTACAGTGAATGCTGCTGCTGAATGCCATCTAATCGCAAGGCAGGCTCTTATAAACATGACGGTATGTCCTCATCCACATTATTCAACAGGCGTGGTGCTATGTGCCTTCTGCTTCTTCTCCAAGGTCAAAATGACTAACTCAGCTAACAAAGGTAAATGTTTTGAATTGATTCAGGACACTGAGGCAGCCATGACAGTGTAACTAAAGACACTCATGGAAGAGTGTCTGACTTCAATCCAGGCCAGCCCCAACTACACGGCAAGACCCTGTCTCAAACAAACAAACAAACAAACACACAAGCAACCTCTTGCAAAATGATAAATAAAAATCCCACAAACCAATAGGAAAATGATTATTTTTCTATGAAGATATAAATTTATAATGCCTAGAAAATGCAAACTGGTCTTAAACAGAAAGACGTAAAACCAAACTCATAATAAGTGAAATGTAAATTAAAATTCAGCTGTTATATTTCATTTATATTTCCAAATTTCAAAACCCAGAAGGCTTAGTAAGAGTGCTGTGTGGCAGTTGGTGTAGGACCAAGCACTCTGGTTTCTGGTGAGAGTTCACAGTGTTAGAGCCCTCATGGAAGGTAATTTGCACTGTCCATAAAATTTTATACACACACACAAGTCAAAACAAAACAATTTATAACATCTCATATCTTTTCACCATGTAAATTATGTAGGAATGTATTCTAGAGACATATTTGTACAGAGACAGATAAATAAGGTTAATAAATACAGCACAATTTGCAACAGCAAAATATTGGTAACAGTCAAAGTAGTCATCAGTTTTGTTTAAATTACGGCTCATGTACATAATGGAATAGTGTGTAGCTATAAAAAAGCAACAAATATGATTTGGAAGGACCTCGAAGACATAACTTTCAAAAAGTATAGAACAACATTTTTTTTGAAAAGGGAAATTCTGTCTATCTTCTACCTATGTATCTATGTATTTATGTATCATCCTAATATTTGAATCAGACCTGACCCCCCACCCCCGACCTGCTTGTCAGCAGAAGCACCGCCCTCTGTAGGGAACTCAGTTCCGCACCGCATGATGTCTGAAGGAGACAAGATAAGAGGAGAAATTTTGCAGGTCCTGGGCCATCTGGCGCCATCTGGAGACACCTGAAAATTTACCCCAGACGCTTCAAGGACTTTGCCCACTGAGCTGCGTGACAGTCGGGGAACTTTGACCACAGATGCGTATTAAAATTTTCTCACTTAATGTCCCCTGCCTCCTTTCCAACCCTATAAAAGCGACACACTTCTCTTTGTTTCCTGTGGACGGCCTTTCCAGCCTCTGACTGCCTGCACCCAGGCATGATAAACTGTACCCCATGTTGCCTTTACACAAGCCTGGTGGTCTCTGCTGTCCCCCCGTGTGTTACACTATCATCTCTCTGTCTAATCAAGTCCACTGCCTCGCTCATGCTTGATCTCCCTGTTTATTCGCCTCTGTTCTCACAGAATCCTTACCTCATCCTACGACTGGTAGAGGCAAATTTCGCTTGTCCTGGGTCCTTACATTCCCTAGAGAGAAGTCACAAGAGGTGGGTGGACCTCTCTTTTGCTAATAATATTGACTACCTCTGAGAGCATAATATCTGTGTGCAATTTGGGGGGAAAGATCTTCTTTTAGACAGGAATGAGAATGATTACGCAGAGGGGAGAAAGGTGCATGGCCCCCTACACTTGATTTTACAATTCTTCTCTGTGGTACTAGGAAACTGAAAGTGGGAGAGGGTGGCAGCCAGGAAAAACTACCAGAAAGAAATAATTTGCATGACCCTATTTGCAGCACTACTGGGGAGAAGGAGACACTGTTACTTAACATGCGTGTTATTTTCTGGGAAGGATTACGCAAGAGGGATTTTGCCAACACAGGTTGTTGGATATAAGACCGCTCTTTCCATTAATGCTGAAGCTGGGAGATTCCAGCTGGCGCTTCATGGCTCTCCCTTCCCTTGGAATTTCAGCAGGAGAAAGGGTCACAAGGTAATCCTTTTCCAGGAAGACATTTCTCTTGTTTTACTCTTAAGATCCATCTCATTGCATAGTTGGCAAGTTCCAAGTGGGAAGAAATTGTGTTTTCAGTGTCTTCATGGAGTCAGAACTGAATAGAGTTAGCAACTCAGGAGATGTTTATTGCTTGACTATGCTCTATTAGGTGCTAATGGGCCACAAACCAACAACATTTTGAATCCTTCTTATTTTTTTCTAGAGCTCTGGCTGAGAAGTAAGGATTTGTGTTTGTTCTTTTTTTTTTTTTTTT